GTGCATGTGCGTGTGTGTGTGTGTGCGTGTGTTTGTGTTTCTTTCTTTCTTTCTTTCTTTTTTTTTTTTTAAAATTGACACCAAAAGCATAGGCAACAAAAGCAAAAATAAACAAGTGGTCAAACTAAAATGTTTTTGCAGAGCAAATGAAACAATCTATAAAATAAAGACAACCTAGAGGTAAGAGAATATATATTTGTAAAACGCTCAACCACTGAGCCACACCAGCCAGGCTAAACAATTCCTTTAAACACTGAATTAAGAGTAGACTTAATCCTATCGTTTTAGGACTTAAAAACTTTTCCTTTTATTTCTCCCTTTCCTTTTTCTGAATATACTATCTCTTCCTGATGATTTGACTTTTAAGCGATTGAGCAATCCCTGCATCCCAAGGTTTCTATGGCCAAGCCATGATACTTTATTCCCCCCACCTTTTTAATACTTACCCAAGGATATGTTCTTATTGATTTGACTGAGAGAGAGAGAGAGAGAGAGAGAGAGAGAGAGAGAGAGATCAGTTGCCACCCGTCTGTGCCCTTATTGGGGATTGAACCAATCTTTTGGGATACAGGACAATGCTCCAACCAAGTGAGCCACACGACCAGGGCTATTTTTCTATTTTAAACAGTCCTATGGATTATTTATTTTTTGCTTTAGCATGTCCTCTGTTATGCCTTTGACTTATTTAATGTTTTGCTCTACAAAAATGTATATGTCTATGTATATGGATTTATACTTATATGTACACATATAAACAAATATGTATACATATGTGTACATATGTTAAAGTAACCAGATTAGGTCCAAGATGGAGTTGTTCATGGGAAGCCCTATGTCAGCAAATCAAAACTTAACTAAGTTTCTATGCTCCGCTCTTCCAGAAAAGGAAGACCTAGATCAATCAATCAATGCTTGCTGCTCAGCACAAGTTACCTAACCTGGTTCCAAGACCTCCCTTTGCTCCACATAAGTAACCCTGTTTTAACCAATCAGCAAATGCCCAGTCTAACTTTGTTTCTGTTCAGTTTGCTCTTTCTTGTTTCTGTTCACTTTGCTCTATAAAAATTTCTTGCCTTGTCCAGCTCTTCAGAGCTGCTTTCTATCTGCTAGATTGGATGCTGCCTGATTCATGCATCACCAAATAGAGCCGATAAGATCTTTAAAAAGTACTCAGTTGAATTTTGTTATTTAACACTTTAAAAATAGGACAACAGGCCCCAAAAGGAGTCGCTTACGCGAAGTCCCACATCACCAAACTGAGGCAGTTTCAGCTCTGACAGAAATGGGATTTCAAATTCGTCCATCAGGAATCGCCTGATCAGCATTAGTTAGGAAATCTGCCTGGTAGACTCCTGCCATCCCCGAAAGGAAAGGAATCGTGCAATAAACCAACCGCTTTTCTTTGCCTGCTTTCTTCTGCCTATGAAAGTCTTTCATTTTGTACAGCTCCTCAGAGTTCCTTTCTATCTACTAGGTTGGATGCTGCCCAATTCTCAAATTGTTAAATACAGCCAATCAGATCTTTAAAATTTACTCAGTTGACTTTTATATTTTAACAACACATATAATTAATTTAAAAAATAATTTAGAAATGAAGGGTTATTGGTTTCCTTTGAGTACACATCTCCTGGATAGAACCCTTACCCCAGGAGGGTAGATGATAAGTTGTCTTGAACCATTCATTTATTACATAAAATGTTCACATGAAGTTTCTTATTTTGCATTTTCTTCTTGAAGCCTTTTAAAGATAATTTTAGCCTTTCAGCCAATATAAATTGATTTGCAAACTTGTTTTGTGTGTGGCTTTTTTTGACCTCCGTCTTTCTATTTCCTCTGTTCTTTGCCTTTCACATGATTTAGTGCCTTTCAGTGCTCACAGTCAGAAAGTCCTGTGTGGCCTATATAAGCTCTTTCTGTTAGTCACAGTAAAACTAGGGAAAGGAGTATGGGGCTAGGGCCAAGTGATAAAATATTCAAGTGATGAGGAGAAAATAAACATTGTGGGGCAAAGGGGGAGGGGAAGAGAGGGAAATGAAGAAAGGTAGGGAAAATATAAATAAACTAGAGGCCCAGTGCACGAAATTTGTGCACAGGTAGGGTCCCTAGCGGCTGCTGTCTGTGGCTGGAGCCTTCCTCTGTTCCGCGCCGCCCCCTGGTGGTCAGCACATGTCATAGCGAGTGATCGAACTCCCAGTTGGTTGAACTCCTGAGGGGATACTTTGCATATTAGGCTTTTCTATATATAGATAAGAGAAAACTGGGAAGAAGGGGAGGTTAAAGAGAGAGCCCTTTAAAAACCAATTTGACTTAGAACCTTCAGGCAGTCTTAATGAATCCTGCCCACACAGTGGTCACCCTGTACTGTGTTAACTCCGAATTTATGCCTCCTGTATGGTAAATGGGCACATGGGCCCCTTCCCTTGCTCCAACTCCCTGTCCCACCCTCTGGGAAATAAAGTGAAGGCCATCTGTAAGCAGACTGTGAGACCTTGGAAACCTGACCAGCAACTTGTTCGAAGAAAGGCCAAAGAGAAACTGCTAGATGTGAGCCTGGATTGTAAGCAACTACTATTTGCATCTGTGTACCTCTCCCTGCATGCCCTGTTTTTCTGTTTTCTGAACTCTATAAAACCTTGTGTGGGTGGCAGCAAAACAATAGCATTGGCCAGCCGTCCCTAGTGTGGCCTGTCCACAGGCCCGATGGGACTTAGCGGGACAACTTCACCAGTGGCAGCTGGTACGGTGGTAAATTTCACTGGTTGGCTGCCATCAGGGCACACATAAGTCCTAATAAACCCATGTCTTTCACAGCCAGTCCTCCGGGTTATTACTTTGGAATCCACAAATTATACACTGAGGTTTTCTGGGACCCCAGCACTTCACATAACACTGCCATTAGTACTTACCTACTTTGAAATACCCTCCATGAAGTGTTCTACTGCAAGGTGACATAAGAACCTGACCACGCTTTCACACGTTGTGTGGAGCTTTCTAGGTACAGGAGCATCCACAAATGAAATCTGAAGGTGGACTCAGGACTGAGGTCCTAAAGGAGGCAATCTGAAGATTGTAATCTTGGCCAAACCTCTTGCTCTGTTGCAGTGGAGCCTCTCTGCCAATCCAGTCAGTAGTGTTCACATCATTTGGAATGGAGAGTGATATCAGATATTATCTAATTCAGCCTCATCTTGGCTGCACCACATTACCCTGTGGGTGACGTCAACCAAGCATAATAAAATCAGGAGGCTTTGGCTAGAAACAAATGATAAAGATTTATTCAAGGGCCGTAGGGTTTGCAAACTGTAAACACAATTAGGCATTATCCAGAGTGTTCTGAAGCAAAAAGAAAAGCTAAGAGTAAGAGTACATTCTTGAGAAGAATCCGTCCTGAATTCTTAGCCGCTGGGTGGTCCAAGATGGTAATATTCTAGAAGATGACTGGTGGTCTGGGTAACGGATGTCAGACAGTTTGGATAATGGATATTAGGAAGCCTGGATACGGGCATATTCTTTCCTTAGTCCTTCAGGGGGTAATCAGGTTGCTTGGAGGTTTGATGTATATCCGGGCATTGATACAGGACTGCAAAGTTCAAAAGCTTAAGTTCCCAGGTTAGTTAAAATAAGACTATAATTGTTTCCTCACACCTGAACCTATTTGACTTTAGAAATTTAACAACTTGACTATAGTGACTCCACTTTATTTCTTCACTCTATTCCTCAGTGAATTAACCATCCGTCTCAATTTTCTCAACTATAAAACAAGATTAAAATATTACCTACTTCAAACAGGGTGTTATTAAAATAATGTAAGTCAATATGCCACATATAAATGTAAAACACTTTGAAGCATGCACATAGTAAGTGCTTAAAAAATGAGAGCTATTAAAACAGAATTGCCTTAGGAGAAACCTGTAATTGCAAATATCAACTCTTCTTCTATGCCAGCACATTTCAAAGTGTGGTGTGGGGACCACTGTGGGTGTGTTCTGAGGACCATTTTTAGTGGTCCATGAAGTAAAAGCTATTTCCTTTTTTTTATACTTACCGGAGGATTTTAGAGAGAGGGAGAGAGAGAGAAACATCCATGTCAAAGAGAAACATTGGTTGCCTCTTGAACCTGCAACCTAAGTTTGTGCTCTGACCAAGAATCAAACCCACAACCTTTTGGGGTACAGGACGACACTCCAACCAACTGAGCCACCGGGCCAGGGACAAAACTATTTTCTTCATGTAACCAATCCAGGTAAGTGGGTTCGTTGCGCGTTGCACAACTGAAAAGGCAGTGGTCTTTTGCAGAGAGGATTCATTTTGAGGCAACTTTGGGGTCTTCAATACATTTTTTAAGAGTAAAATGGGATCCTGTGAACAAAGTTTGAGAAGCCATGCTGTGATGCAACTCATGACCCAGTACATGTAGATGCCTTGTGATCGCCAATTCACGTTTTCCAGCCTGTATACCTTCTTCTTGTGGTTTCTGTTCGGACTGAATTCCTTCCTTTTCTGCCTGTCAAAGTCCTACCCCTACCTCCAGAGCATCTAATTCTCTCTGAAGCTGGTCCAAATTCCGCTCCCTCTTCTCTTCCCGGCGCGCTGGGCCCTTTGGGGACACGTCCGGGCCTCCCTCGGGGGCACGTGCCCTTTGCAGCCTTGGGTGTCAGTCTGCGTTGACCAAGACTAGCGGGCCGGGGCTGGGTTTCTCCTGTTCGGAGCGCTGGTCCCGGCACCAGCACCTCCAGCCACAATAGTCACCAACCACGGGGCCGTGCCTGGTCTCAACTAGGCCGGACGGCACCGGAGGGCCACTCGGAACCGAGGAGGCCACTACAGTCCAGTGGCAGCGAGAAGCAGCAGGAACTACGTGAAGCCACCACACACCGCGCCGACTTCCGAGTCGCCCGGATTCCCAGGAGCGCGGGGCTGAGCGAGGGGCGGGGCTGCACAAGGGGGTGGGCCACGCCCACAGGGGGCGTGGCCTCCAGCGCGCGCGGGAAAGGGGCTGGCGCTGCCTGCGCGCGCACAGGCGGGGGCCGCGCGCAGCACGCTACGGGCCGGATGGCGGCGGCCGCTGCGGGAAGCGGGACGCCCCGCGAAGAGGAGGGGTCCAGTGGGGAGGCAGCGGCCCCGCAGCCGCAAGCTCCGACGAGTGCGCCCGGGGCCCGTCTCTCGAGGCTGCCTCTGGCGCGAGTGAAGGCCTTGGTTAAGGCGGACCCTGATGTGACGCTCGCGGGACAGGAAGCCATCTTCATTCTGGCACGAGCCGCGGTGCGGCGGGAGCGCGAGGGGCCCTGGGACGCGGGTGGGGGCGTGGCTAGGGGCGGGGCTTAGTGACAGCGAGGGGCGGGGCTTAGCGGCGGCGTGGGCCGGCGTTGGGATGGAGGAGGTGGAGGAGGAGGAGGGTCGGAGGGGGTGTACTGAAGAGCCGGAAGTGGGAGGTGCTGGGGCCGCGTTGTGAGGTGTGAGTGCAGGAAGTGGGGACGGTAAAAGGGTCGCGTACGGTAGCATTAGTTTGTTACACCTGCCTCTAATTTGCATCTCCAGTGTCTACCACAGACCTTGTAGGAGTCTCTAGTGAATGAGTGGGGTGGATTGACAAAGGAGGGAGGAGAGACGTGCCATGGGCTAAAGGGGAAGGGGAAAGGGGGATAGACCTTCATGGAGTCCAGGGCCACCTTCAGCTTCCCTGACGACCTCCCCAAGCATCCGAGCCCCCGCCCACTCCTCCCCCTACTCACCAATAGAAGCTCTCAGAAATTGTGCCAGTGCCCACCAATACAGCAGGTGCTCAGATAACCCCGTATCTGTTCAGCATCCTTCCCGTGTCATGTGGACGAGGTGCCATAGGAGCTTAGTTGTTGTTTATATACGTCGTCTAAGGTAAAATTGGTTTGGCTATGTGGCGTTTCGCCTAAAGCCTCAGAAGATTAAGTGAGGGCTTACTGTACACCTCTCCCGTTTGCTTCACAGGAACTGTTTGTGGAGACTATTGCAAAAGATGCCTACTGCTGCGCTCAACAAGGAAAGCGGAAAACCCTCCAGCGGAGAGATTTGGGTAGAGTGTCCCTGTGGCATCTGCTGCCAAGGAGGCGGGGCGGATCTTCCCTCTCAGTGGTTAGGAAGGCCTCACTGTAAAATGAGAGGTGCCAAAGGGTCTGTCTGTGATTTCTGTTGGGCTGCCATCGTGCCAGAAAGCCCTACGTTTAGAGTCTCTGTGCTTTGGGTGGCTGGTGTGATGTCGGGACAGAGAAGGAAAGGAGTCCAGCTGTTGCCACAGCTGACTAGACCTCTTTACGCGTTCTGCCAGGTTGTGCCAGGCTTGATACTGCTTTTTCCCTAGACACTCGGGATTTGATTTCTGCGTTTTCTTTCTAGGTGGTAGCCATCATACAGGTGCACGCTTTCACATAATCGTATTTTCACTTTCCCCGCTATATTGCTAAACTCTTCTCTGATGACACTCAGAGCAAAGAGGTTCCCTTCCCTGAACAATATTTGCCCAGGCCTTTCTTATTCTTGTAGAGAGAGAGCTGATAGGTAAGATCTGGTGGTGGAGTAGCAATGGATTTCAAGTTAGCAAAGGGACACATTTTATAAACACCCTGGTTTGCATAAAGTCTCTTGCCTCCTTCAGTGTGGGGGTTATGCTCTTTGTGGGGGCTGATGTCCAAATGACCAGAGGTAGTCAGGTGTCCCTTTACCTTGTGTTTCAGATAATGCGATAGAAGCTGTGGATGAATTTGCTTTTCTGGAAGGTAAGTTCTCTACCAGTGGGTAATTATTTCTAGCTGTCTTTTCCATGCTAATGACCTGAGTTTAAAACCTTATATAAAATGGATGCATGGTTCTTCTTTGGTTGTGTAGGGATAATTTTTTCTCCCTACATCCTATACATAGGAACAACTAGTAATTTGATAAATCTGGTGGGATTTAGAAATTTCAGTTCCCTTGGGGAATTAGAACTTCTACCTGAGGATTGCTAATCATAAAGAAATGGCAGAGAAATTTAGATCGAAGTGGAGTTAGGTGGATTCTGAAGTTTAATTCCCACTTTGATCTTGCCCTAGGTATAAATCTTTCCCCTCTTAATGCTAGAAACCAGAAACTATTGCCAACATTTAAAGAGTACTTCTTGTTCTTTTTTTTCTTCAACAACTTCTTGTTCCTTTTTTTCTTAAGTGATTTTTTTGCTGCCTTGAGAGATTCTATACTCACCTGTATCTGTTTGTTCTTAGGAATTTTAGGTGAACTCATGTTTACTAACTAAATCTTGTAAATTGAAATAGCAAATATTTGACATATCTCATTTCAGCTACCTTCTTTTAGAACTATTTCTGACTTCACTATACCAAGGTATTCTCATTACCTCCTTCAAGCCTTATTACCATCCAAAATCTTTTCTTGATGTATTTATTTCATTTTATTTACACCTTTCTTTTGCATTTTTATATCAATCTAGGCTCTTGGCCCTTTTGAGATGTTCTTTTAAATGTCTTTAAATTCCCATGACCAGCTTCAAGTATCTTCTTTATAGCATTTTCTTAAGCTCTCTGTTCATGTACTCATTATTCTTAAAACTAAGTTGTTAGCTACCTGCCTTAAGGCAGGCAACTTCTTGTGACTGACTTCCTATTAGTCTTCCAATCAAAAATACTGGGCCCCTACTTTTTCTGCTCATTTTTAATTACTAGCTCTTCAGATTTGTATTTTAAAGATATAACACTATGCCATAACTGGTTTGGTTCAGTGGATAGAGTGTCGGCCTGCAGACTGAAAGGTCCCAGGTTCGATTCCAGTCAAGGGCATGTACCTTGGTTGTGGGCACATCTCCAGTGGGGAGTGTGCAGGAGGCAGCTGATCGATGTTTCTCTCTCATCGATGTTTCTAACTCTCTCTCTCTCTCTCTTCCTCTCTGTAAAACATCAATAAAATATATTAAAAGAAATAAAATAAAGATATAACACTAGTACCCTGTGGATAATAAATTAATTGGAGTGTGCCAGGAATGGAAGTGGAGAGATTTTAATGCAGTTTTCCATCCCACCCTCTTCCATGGCATAGTGCTTAGCTTGGACTTTTATGAGAAAGATGTGCTACCAACTGCGCTAATGAGGCACCTTAGCTTGGATTTTTAGTAATGCCATTTATTGAGTAGTAGATGTGTTCATTTTCATGTTCCAATAGAATAATCTCAGTAATTGAATCCTCTGTTCTATTACATTAATATATCAGAATTTTGACCATTTTAGCCTCTGTGGATTTAGTCAGTATTGTATTATTTTTGTACCTGTTAAAATAAATGTTCTTATGTCCTTAGAAGTGTATGTTCTAATTAGAAAATTACCTTTTTCTTTTTTTAATCAAGGCAATATATATCCATGCTTAAAAATCAGAATAGTGCCCTAGCTGGTTTTGGTCAGTGGATAGAGCGTCGACCCTCGGACTAAAGTGTCCTGGGTTCAGTTCTGGTCAAAGGCATGTACTTCGGTTGCAGGTTCCCCAGCCCTGGTCGGGGTGTGTGTAGGAGACAATCAATCAATGTGTCTCTCTCACATCAATATTTCTCTCTGTCTCTCCCTCTCTCCTCTCTCCCACTTTTTCTAAAAATCAATGGAAAAATATCCTCAGGTGAGGATTAACAACAAAATCAGTTACCTAATAGCTGTAGTGAAATGCAGCTGTCGCCCCTCACCCTTTTGCTTCTGTTTTTAGCTTTCAGGTGGTTACTCATATTTCTAAATAATATGCTTCCTCCTTGATTTATCAACTGCAGATGTTATTAATTCCTGCTATGATAAATGAAGATTTGGCTAACCTATACTACCCCATAAATCCCTTCCTCCTTTTCTTTTTTTTTTTTTTTTAAATATATTTTATTGATTTTTCACAGAGAGGAAGGGAGAGAGATAGTTAGAAACATCGATGAGCGAGAAACATCGATCAGCTGCCTCCTGCACATCTCCCACTGGGGATGTGCCCGCAACCCAGGTACATGCCCTTGACCGGAATCGAACCTGGGACCCCCCAGTCCGCAGGCCGACGCTCCATCCACTGAGCCAAACCGGTTTCGGCCCTTCCTCCTTTTTTAAAAAAACTATATTTTTATTGATTTCAGGGAGGAAGGGAGAGGGAGAGAGAGATGGAAACATCAATGATGAGAGAGAATCATTGATCGGCTATCTCCTGCACACCCTCCACTGGGAATCGAATTCGGGACCCTTAAGTCCGCAAGCTGACACTCTATCCACTGAGCCAAACCAGCTAGGGCCTTCCTTTCTTTTTTTTTGGTAGTTGTATCATTATTTTTAGTTCCTTTGATACCTTTACAGTTTATATAACACACCAAAATGTCTACTTTTTTGCTGTACCCAACTTTCAACATATTTCTTGTCTTTACACTTTGTAAAGTATGATTGTTACTGCACCTGTCTTTTCCTTTCCTGCTTTTAGCCCTCTTCTAGCTCTTGCTTTGGGTCATCTACACTTATTCTTTGACATTGTTGAGGCTGATGACATATTATTAGAATTAAATCTTTCATGCTTTATATGTAGGTTAAGTGTAGAAGTTGAAAGTAGTACTGTGAATAGTCTTCATGTATATTCTTTCTGTTCCTTAATACTTCATATAGGTCCCTTCCCTGCAGGTAACTGTTATCAGGCTCTGTAATCTTCTGGATACTTTATGCAAATAAGTGTAAATATGTATATTCTTATAAGTTTTTCCTTATGAAATACAATGTGAACAAATGTAAAGACAATAAATAATAAAATAAACAACATTGTAACCACCAACTAGGCAAAGAGATAGACTATTGTCAGCCCCTAGAAGCTCCATATATATTTCTTCCTCATCATATTCTTTCCTGTGCCCTGTCCTGACATAACTGTTTCCTGACTTTTTGGTAATTACTTCCTTGATTTTTTTTTATAATTTTACCATATAAGCATGCATCTGTAAATATGAGGATTGAATTTTGTATTTTTTTCAACTTTGTACAAATAGAAATAAACTGTATGTATTCATTTGTCAGCATCCGTTTCATAGCTGTTTTCTTTAGGTTAATTCATTTATGAGATTCATCTTTTTGGTTACACATATATCTAGTTTTTTCATTTTCTTTGTTGTATGGTATGCATACAATACATTGTGACAATACCACAATGGAACCATTTTAATGTCGATATTTGGATAATCTGTTTTTGGTGTGTGCTATTATGAACAGTTATGAATATTCTTATATGTGTTTCTCTGGGTATGTGTATGTATAAAATTCCTGGGACATAGGATATGTGTATCTCCCTTTTGTAGGTATTGCTGAACTTTGTGTATTACCTCATTCACATTAGTGCCAGTAGTATATGATAACTCTCATTGCTCTTTATTCTTGCCAGCACCGGGTATTATCAGAGTTTTTAATTTTTGTCAGTCTGGTAGGAATGTAATGAAATGGCATTGTGATTTTAATTTGCCCTCATTACTAGTGACGTTAAGCATCTTTCCATATCCATGTTCATTTTTTGTGGGGAGGTTGTTCTATTTTTCTTTTGTATATTTTTTCTTTTTTATTAAAAGATAGGAGCTCAACACAGGAGCTGCCCCCTGGTGGTCAGTGCACTCCCACAGGGGGGAGCACTGCTCAGCCAGAAGCCTGGCTCATGGCTGGTGAGCACAGTGGCAGTGGCAGTAAGGAGTGAGAGGTCCCGGACTGCGAGAGCCCCGGACTGCAAGAGGGATGTCTGACTGCCGGCTTAGGCCCAATCCCCAGCAGGCGGACATCCCCCAAGGGGTCCCAGACTGTGAGAGGGCACAGGCTGGACTGAGGGAGGGCTCCATCCCCCCAGCCCCCCTGCCACCCCCCTCCGTGCCTCCAGTGCACAAATCTCATGCACCGGGCCTCTAGTCTTTCATAAAAATAGAATAGCCTTTTTATCTATTGGTTTGAGGTAGGTATCCAGTTTTTTTCTTTTTGTTTTTCTCCCTTCTTGTTTGGCTATCTACTTGTCCATATCATTTTCTCATAGTTCTATCTTTGTTATAAATCAAGGCTGTTTCTGGGCTTTTTATTCTCTCTTACTGATCTGTGTGTCTGTTTCCATGTCAGTACCACACTGTCTCAATTATAGGAGCTTTATCCAAGAGAGCAAATCTTCCCACCTTGTTCTTTGATTTTTATTCTTTGCATTTTGATGTACATTTTAGAATCTGCTTGTCAAATTTCACAAAAAGGGATATTGATATGGATGGCATTGAATTATAGATTACTTTGGGTGAGAAATGATATCTTTACAATAGTGAATCTTCCAGTCCATGAACCTGGTATATTTTTTCATTTATTTAGATCTTTAATTTTTTAAAATTAATTTTTTTTTATTTTACCTGAAGAAATCTTGACATATACTGTTAGATGTTTTTCCCTAAGTACTTTATATTTTTAATGCTATTGTTAGTGGTATCTTCCTAAAAATGTCATTTAAAAAACATGGCTAGTATATAGAAATATAAATGATTACATATGTTAATTTTGCACCTAGTCTCTTGCTCAACTCTTACTAATTCTAATGATTTATATGTTCATTCTTTTGACTTTCCTTAATCACACAGTAATATCTTCCAATAATGATAATTTTGAGAAATTTTTAAAAATAAATGTCTTTAAAAATTTTTCTTTGCCATATTGCACTGGCTTGTATCTCCATTAGTGTTGAGTAATAGTGACAGCATTTTTTTTCAAAATATGCTTTTATTGATTTTAAAGAGAGTGGAAGGGAGAGGGAGAGAAACATTGATGCGAGAAACATCCGTCGGCTGCCTCTTATACACCCCTTACTGGGGATTGAGCCCACAAACCGGACATGTGCCCTGACTGGGAATTGAACTGGTGACCTTTTGGTGCGTGGGACAACATTCAACTAACTGAGCCACAAGGACCAAGCATCTTGATGTCAAAGGGAAAGCCTTCAGTGATTAGTACCTTTCCCCTCAGTCTCAGCAATATGGGATCTTAGAATCCATTAACTCCATTTATAAGTCCCTCTCTGCCACACATGTTATTGTTATGGATTTTTGTTTTGTCTTTGTTGGTTCACATAAGGCATTATCATTGTTGTATTGCAATGATTCAGTCAATGATATATAAATTTATCGGTATACTTACTACTATCTTTGCTCTTCTTTCCGTTCTGTATTTCTGATCTTCCATTTGTGATCATTTTTTTTTCTTTCTGAAGTAAATCCTTTAGAATTTCCTTTAGTTTGGGTCTTCTGGTAGCTGCGTTTTTCTTTTTTCTTTTAGCACATTGAAGCTATCATTCTACTTTTTTTGGTTTCCATTGAAGAATTACTTGTTATTCTTTTTTCTGTATGCTTTTGAGCTCTCCTCTTTATCTTTGATATTTCTGTAGTTTCACTTTGATGTATCTAGGTGTAGATTTCTAATGTGGTATGCTAAGAGTTGTTAAATCTGTGGATCTGTCCTAGAGAATTCTTAGCTAATAACTGTTGAAATATTGTCTCTGGTTTGTTTTCTCTATCTCCTTTTTCTTTGGAATTCCCGTTAAACAGATATTAAAACTCAACCGTAATTTTGCCACTCCATGATGTATTCTGTGTAATGTTTCTGACCTTGCAGTTTGCTTTCTCTTCAGTGACCTTATCTCCTTTAACTTTTTTTTTTTTTGTTAGTTTTAGTTTTTATATGTTTCAGTTCTGCACATTCTATTTGGTTATTTTTTTAAATGTATTTTGTCACTTTTTGTTGTTTGTATTTTCTGTAGGTATTTTGAAGCTTGCATTTTATTTCTTTAAACATAAGCACAATTGTTTATAGTCTGTGTCCATCTAATACCCAAGCCTTTTGAAGCATTTTTTTTTGTCTACTGTTTCTGTTGGTACTGTCTCATGGTCATTTTTCTCTATATGCCTAGTTATATCAGTACATGGTTCATTGGATTTGAAGTATTATTTGTTGGATAATTTGAGGCCTATATAATGAAATCTTTCTCCAAAGATTTTCATGTGCAAGGCACCTAGGGGCATTTATCAGTGCAGAATCTCCTTAATCCAAATTCAAGATTTGAGGCTGCTCAGATCACTGTGGTGATATGAACCGTGACTGCAGGCCTGTGAGGGGGCTGATTTAGTTCTGGTTTTGCCTTACTTGAGAGTTTAACCATTTGGGACTCCAGTGTTAAACAATGTGTGTGTGTGTGTGTGTGGTGGTGTGTGTATGGGGGGGTGGTGGGGGTGGTCAGGTTATCAGACCGTCCCTCTTGAGTCTGGGATTTGAATCTTGGTTCACTGAGCCTGCCAAAATCATAGCAGTTTTTCAGCTCTGTTTTTTGGATTGGAAAATGCCTTCAGGGTGAAAGCAGCTTTGAAGGCTGGGTTTACTTTGTGTTGTTGCCTTTCAGCATATTGGATTTTCCTTTTCTTGGAGCTTTTTCAAAGCCTAGATTTAAAAAAATATATATATTTTAATCAGCTTTGTCAGTTGGTCTTAGCAGGAATTTGCATTCTCACTTTTTTAAAAAAAATAAATTTTCGTCTCTCACTGTGTAGGATTTCTTCACAGGCCTGGTGGTTTTCATTCTGTCTTAAAATGAGGGAATAAGAAGGCTGTTGGAAGGTGTGTGTGTGTGTGTGTCTTTTGCCTGGCAATTTTCTTTAGATGTTATGGTGGTATCCCCCAAAGGCCAGAATGCAGAGAGCTTTACTGTGGGGAGCTGGCTAGTTTTCCAGATAATTCCTTTGGTCCTTTAAAAGCTCTGATACTTTCCTGCCAAGTTAGGTTTGCAGTCTTGCTTTTCCCTCTACATTATTGATAAATATACTTAAGTCAGATTTCTGATACTCAACTTTTTGTTGAACTCTCTTAACTGTTGATAGATCCCCCAATTCTTTGTTGTAGATTCATGTCTTTTTTTTTAATAAATATATTTTGCTTGATTTCAGAGAGGAAGGGAGAGGGAGGGAGAGATAGAAACATCAGTGATAACAGAGAATCATGGATTGGCTACCTCCTGCACGCTCCCTATTAGGGATTGAGCTCAAAACCCAGGCATGTGCCCTGACCAGGAATCAAACCATGACCTCCTGGTTCATAGGTCGATGCTCAACCACTGAGCCATGCTGGCCAGGTGATTTATGTCTTTTTTAAGCTTTTTTTCCTTTTGAATGGAATCTTAGGTAGGAGAGCATAGAACATAGGAACTTGTGGGCTCAGTATCCCATCTTGAACTAGAACTTTCTCAAAAAATTATAAACTCTTTATTTTATCTCATGTATTTTGTATCTCCCCTTGTATGGCCTCCATAAGTGCTCGCTTAACTAATATAATAACTTCTTAGGCCTTTCCCAACTCTAATCTAACGCTTTAGACAAGTATGCTTAATTCCCAACTGCCCACCCTCTCTACTGACTGTTTTCCCCCGGGGGTCTTTTGGATGGCTATTCTTCTAAACAAGTATTTGGTTTTAGAGAATTGCCAGCACCAAAGCAGCTCCCACTTTAACCTTGCCCGGTTTGTTATACGCACCCAGCTCTTGAGGCACCTTGCTTGATACATTGCTCTTTGTCTTTTTAGGTACTTTGGACTGATTACTGAGCTGGACACTTTGTGAGCCTTCACCTGCATCCTTCAGCGAGCCCTCTGCAGGCCTCAGCTTTGAAGAACAGAGTCCTTGGAAAGTGGCACTCTATAGTTTCCTGTTCTAACTTTACCTAAGCCAGAATAACCTGCTTGTTTTTCTCTACAAGGTCTTCCATGGCTGTCTTCCATTTCTGTCTGGATCAACTGCTGCTGCTTGAGGCAGAGACAAAATGATTTGTGTTGGTTGCTTAATGAATGACAGGGACCAGAATAAAGGTCTCTGATCAACTTGAAGCTAGTGTGTTTCATATTCTTGCCTTTGTTCTCCCACCGTGACGGGAGAGCTGCCATGCCCAGTCACAGACCTTCTTGATCGTCCCTGCCAACTGTTCTAAATCTCAGTCTTTTCATTTATTTGTTCTTTTCCAGCATGTCACCAGAATCTGGTTCCAGAATTTGCTGGGTACCACTTAAGGTCTTCATAAGTTCAAATAAATGTGATGCTAGATTTAAAATGAATTCAAATTTTTAACAGCGTTGTTAAGATATAATTTACATACCATTTAAAGTATGTATTTCAATAGTTTTTAGTATATTTACAGATATGTACAACTGTCACCACCATTTTAGAACATTTTCATCTGAGTGGAATCATAATATGTGGTATTTTGTGCCTGGCTTCTTTCATGTAGATAATATTTTCAAGATTTATCTATGTGATACCATATATCAGTAGCAGTTCCTTTATTTTTATTTTTTAATTGTGAAGTATACATAACAAAATTTACCACTTAAGCCATTTTTAAATGTACAGTTTTGTGGCATAAGCATATTCACAGTTTTGTACACCATTATCTGTCTCCAGGACATTTTCCATCTTCCTAAACTGAAACTCTGTACCCATTAAACAGTAATTTCCCACTCTCTCCTCCCCTAGTCTCTGGCTAAATTTTGTTTTGTTTTTTTCAGGGGAAGGTGTGGGTGACAGCAGGAAGGAGGCAGACTATGTAGGAAGCAGTGGTTAAGGAAAGCGCAGGAAGCCTTTGACAGTGGGTCTTACATATTTTTGGATCATGGATCAATGATGCAAAGTTCATAGATCTCCCTAGAAAAATGCAGATACTCAGTCCTGAAGCGTTTTATAAATAAACTTTATTTTAGAATAATACTACATTTACAACAAAGTTGCAAAGTCAGTGCCCAGACCCTACAGCCACTGAACTATTCAGTGTCCTATAAGTAAGTCTTAACTGCGCTCAGTCCTGCAGAGAGAGGCTGGCTCCCCAAGCCCTTGGCGAAGTAGTCACCCTTAGAGCACCACTTGGTAGAAGTGCTCTCTTCTGACAAATCAGGGAAGGCTGTGACAATTTCAGGAATTGCCTCTTGAGTTTTCTAAGAAATAACAAACTTTCCTCTTGAGTTTTCTAAGAAATAACAAACTCCCAGGCACTCTCCAACCATTGTATTGAGCGCAATACAGAGTGTTTTCTTCTTTTTCACGCAGGGTGTCTGAACCTCAGTGTGTTGTCTCTGCTTGGAAGACTTCGTGCAGTGCAAAGGAAACCAGTATAAGGCTCTGCTCAGAATACCATGCTTAAAGCCCTTTGCTCTTAATAATATACTCCATTATATAAGCTGTGGTGGGCTCTCCCCAAGAATTTGGAAATAAGAGGTAGGAAGATTGTCCCCTGAAAGTGGAACCTTAAAGTCAAGTACAATTAGATTTGATAAAATCTATCTAGAAGAATGTCAGTCAGCATGGGGCACTGGTCAATCCTGGAAGTGAGGAAAGGGTCCCAGAAACACCATTGCCCACTAGGTAGGTAGCCTGAGCCTTAGCCAGTGCCTCTGACTACTTTGGTTCCATTGGCCAGACATGTCAGTGCCTTCAAACACTGGAATCCTAACTCCCTTTGTTCTGAGCCCACCTTTCCTAGGCAGTGGTTTGATGCTCACCTGGCTTCCCATGTAGCTGATCATGGGGAGAAGGGCTGATCATGGGGAGTTGGACTATTTCCATTCACTGTGACAGATTTCTCTTTGTGAATGAATGGGGTCATTTCCAGCTCTGGGTTGTTGGTCCACGTTACATCATTAAAGGGAGATGAGAATGTGGTGGCCATATGCACTGGAAGTATTTCAGTCCCTGTGAGAGTTATTCCATATTGTGCCATGACAGCATGGCCAAGGGTGAACCTGAGTGGGGGCGGTGAAGGATTTAGAAAAGATAGACGAGAAGAAAGCTGGGTCTGGGTGGGACGCTGCCCTCTCTGATCGAGAGAGTGCCACAGCCTGTAAGCCGAGTCTTTATTTTATAGCCATATTCCACGAGGCAAAGTAAGGGCATGGTTACAAAGTTCTCGTGAGTTTTGAATCTTCCCAATTACATGCACCTGAACTCTGTCAAGCCCACATCACTCAGGCACGTGGGCCCACGTGTTCCGACCATAGGTTCAAGCTTAAACCTATAGCCTCTGGCTATAATTGTGCTGGGAGGGCTCTGCCCTCCAAGCTGGGACTTGCACGTGGTCGTGAGAGGACTGTGCCCTCTCAGTCCGAGGCTTGAACCTGTCCAAACACTGTGTCCAAACTACAGTGTCCAAACACTGTAGCCCATCTCCACACCATATTATAGATTACTTTCTTGCCAAGCAAGGGCTATGTTCTTGAAAAATAGTGAATAGCCAGAAAATACATACAAGAAAATTTACAATAGGAAATGATATGGGGGGGTGGGCGGACGGAGGCATTTTGTTTATATTTGGGAGCATCTGCTAGCTGCATTATACCCATATTTATAAAATTCCATAAATATTCACTGCGTCAGATGAGGGAGGAAGGAGATGTGAAGTCAGGAGAAGGTGATCTGCACAGGCCAAAGGTGTAGGGCATCACGGGCCAGGTGTACAATACTCAAAACACAAAAGCCCAATCTCTAGGCTGTGGAAACCATTAGGGGAATGAGGAAGACAGCACCACCACTCACTGGCTATTGTGCTGAATTGCCTGCCAATGATATTCCTGGTTTTCTGTATTAGGGTAAAGGCTAATTTGCTATAACAAATATGCCACAAAACATACTGGCTTAAATAAAGTAGAAATTTATTTCTCCTCCATGTAACAATTCATGGACTAGACCAGTGGTCGGCAAAGTGCGGCTCGCGAGTCACATGCGGCTCTTTGGCCACTTGAGTGTGGCTCTTCCACAAAATACCACGTGCAGGCGTGCATGTACAGTGCAATTGAAACTTCGTGGCCCATGCACAGAAGTCGGTATTTTGTGGAGGAGCCACACTCAAGGGGCCAAAGAGTCGCATGTGGCTCGTGAGCCGCAGTTTGCCAACCACTGGACTAGACTAGCAGGGTTGCTGTGCTCCACGGGGTGGCTTTGACATTCCTGTATGTACTGTCCAATAGAACTTCCTATGATGATGGAAATGCTCTACATCTGTGCTCTACAATGTGGTAGCTGCTGGCCACGTGTGGCTATTAAGAAGTTGAAATGTGGCTATTGTGACTGAGGCACTAACTTTTAAATTATACTTAAATTTAAATAGCCACAGATGCCTAGTGGTTACTGTATTTGACAGAACAACTTAGACACAAGCTGAATGATCTCCAAGTTCAGTTCCAGTTCACAGGAAGGAGAAAGAAAGTGTGAGTAGGACCAGGGTCTTGCCTTTGAAGTTGGAGAGGACTCAAGTTGCACACATTACTTCAGTCCAAATCCCATTGATTCCTACTTAGCCTACTTGCCAGTTCTAGTTGCAAGGTCAGCGAGGACATACTGTTTCTGGCTAGGGGATTGTGTACCCCCTTATTATGGTCAAATGGTAGGTACATTTTGATGGACACCTAGAAGTCTCAGCCACAACATCTCATCTTCGCAATTCTTCACTCTGGGATTGTGCACACTAACATTTCTAAGCCTTGGTGATAATGGTCACTACTCCATAAAGTCATTGTGAAGGTCACAGTAACACTAGTAAAGTCCTCAATGTCATGCTGGGCACATAGTGTTGAGTTGTTCAGTCACAGTGGGTCTGGTTCCTCTAGCTTTTGTCAGTTCCATTGTCAGCCTGCAGTAATGCTCACTGAGCCTTGCAGCCCTTCCTATTCTGAATGCGGCTCGCCTGTGGTAACAAAAGCTCTAAGAAATCAAGGCTCTTTTCAAACACACGTAAGGGAACGCCATAAGTGGAGGTGGAGACGTGTCTGTATATCAGACCTAGAAGTTGGTTAATGAGAGTTTGCTTTTGAGAAAAAGGTTCATTTTGACCTGCTTACAATCCCAGGTTTCTTAGCCTGAGACATACTGACTGAGATTATTAAGAAAGACCTTTTGGAGATGCTGGAGGGCTTTTACCCAAGACAGACAATATGTCCCTTTTGCTCCCCATTCCTTACTAGAATCTAGTACAGCAAACAGAGAAAGACATGATTTTTTTTTAAAAAAATATATTTTATTGATTTTTTACAGAGAGGAAGGGAGAGTGATAGAGAGTTAGAAACATCGATCAGCTGCCTCCTGCACACCTCCTACAGGGAATGTGCCTGCAACCAAGGTACATGCCCTTGACCGGAATCGAACCGGGACCCTCCAGTCCGCGACTCTATCCACTGAGCCAAACCGGTTAGGGTGAGAAAGACATGATTTTAAAAAGCTATCTATGCCCATCAATTCACGGTGTTTTCTTGACAGGCTGATAATGAGCACGTCTTACCTTATTAGAGAAGATGGAGACTGACCAGGGTGCCGCAGAGTACCTGTGAGAGCATCTGTCCTCATTGCAGGGCGTCACTCCAGGGTCACGAAGCAAAGATCACCTCTGTCTTTTTAAGTGACACTGGTAAAGATAATTCACTAGAGATTCTCAGTGCATTTTAAAGAAATACATCATTTCACAGTACACAACTATGAAACTGTATTTAAAAACATTTCTTATTTGCCTTGCCCGCTAAAAGAAGCTTCGAGCTCTCAGTGCTTCAAAATAGTGAAATACTCCCCCAAGTAAACGCTAGATGAAAATCTTGGGGATAATTTCTGGATTCCTCCTCTTGCCACTGTTACTATATGGTGCCTGCTAAAAGCAAAAAGCTACCTTGGTTTTTCTCCCATTCATCATTCCTAAATTGCAAGTGACAGAAATCAGTGATTTCACTAAGCACTTTGTAAAAGTGCAAAAGTCTGTATGCCAGAATGTGTGTCCTAACAGAGAATAATGTCAGACATAACAAACCCGGGAGAGAAAATTCCCAAGAGAGCTCATTGTCACTGAAAACCCTCAAGCTCA